TCTAAAAATTTGGTCATCTGGTTGGCGATGATATGCTCGATTAGTTTACAGCAGGATGAAGTTAAAGATATTGGTCGATAATTTTCTACTGATAAATGATTGCCCTTTTTAAAAATTGGCACTACCCGAGCCGCCCTCCAGTCTTTGGGTACCTGAGTAGACAACAAAGAAGCTCTGAACAGTATAAAAAGAAATCTACCGATACATTCCGCATAGCTCATAACCGAAGTACCACAAGAAAACTATTTCAAAACTGAAATAAACTATCAAACAAAAGTTCAAAAAAGAAAGAAAAAACAAATCTTGTTGCAACCATCTCTCAAAAGCTTACGGCTGTTAAGCGCTTCACTGGCAAACCGAGTTCTTCCCCTTATGCGACTACTTCCCGAGGACCACTGATACCCCTGTCACAGGTGGCAGCTTAAGTGCACTTTGAGTGAGTACACTTAGCCGGTGGTGTCATTTGTGGGCTGTCACACGAGCAAGTTTAGTGTCACTTGCTGCAAAGTACACTTGCGGACAAGTGCGTTCCCCAACCTCGCTTCGCTGCGACGAAGTGTGTAGCCTCGGTACCAGTGGGTTGCACTTAAATATGCTGTTGCCTAAAGCAGTGCTAATACTATTCTTGAACTACTGTTTTCGGTATAAGGGATAGTGCTATGTATTGAAACAAGTCGTAAATCAACAAAAATCTTACCATCGAGCAGGTTGTGACAACGTCCGCTAGGGCGATGTGGCAGCACAAGCTGTGCAATGGCTGCGTCTGTCGCGTTATTTACTTCCACGCATACTTGCACATGTGTAGGCGAGTCATTCTGCAGTCGTTTACGATGACACGTGCCACTGGTGCTTACACGAAGACGTGTTTCTATGATGAGGCCTTGGCGCAAAAATAACAAATATATGTTTCCTTACAAACACGTTAACTGCCCCTGTCATAATTTCCAAAGTACACTTCGCTTTCTTGTGCAGCAGCAAACCACAAAAGTGACACTGTGAGTGTAAGTACACTGGTACCAAGTACGCTTACGTTGCCACACGAGACAGGGGTATGACTTTTGTACTCCCGCGCCCCACCACAGCTGTTGTGGATACATCAACAGGAGAAGTGAGCCCTTCCTTCAGTCTGCGTTTTTCGGCTAACCTGCTTCTCTTTTTCTCGGTATACCAACGTTGACGTTGTGAAAAAGCCACCCTATTTTCCCACCGCGACAACTCGAGTAAATGCATCGCAGAGTGGGGGGGTATCGCATGAATGTTGCATAATTGGGTATTGTTTGGGAATGCCTGATTGTTATTTTGTCTTTATTATTCTTATTTATTGAATGTAGGTGAAGTGTTGCTTTCAACGAGTGGTGGCAAGCGGATATTCGATCTGGTGCAAACATATGGGGTGGCTAGTGAACGGTTGTGCAGCTCGAGCAATTGGTTTTTACTTGCACACGCTTTCTGCGTCGGTATTGCGAGGCGAGAGGGAAGCGCAGACAGTTCACATGAAACACAAGCATGCGGCATGATACGTCAGGTGCGAGCATGCGCGTTAGGGGTGTGGACATCGCTGCCGATGCGTGAGATCTTGTCACTGAGAAATGCTTTGCATTTAAATCTTTTTCAGTGTTGTTTCGGGCCATACAAGTCGCTTCGACATCTAGATGTTCCAGACTACGAGGTTGTGCCGGGCGGCATTACGAACCCTCAACGGTGATGTGCGCAGCCAGAAGTCATGCATGCTGTGCGCTTTAAGCTGTTTTATGCGCGTTAGAGAACCTATGGACTGTACTTCTCAGTTCAGTTCAGTTTCAATTTTATTTCTTAAGGGCCCCCATTCAGGGGTTGTTACATAAAGGGTAGGATTTCCAGTAAAAATCTAACAGTGATGATTAAATTAACATTTCAGATTATCAGTGATGTGCTCTTGAGAAGTAGATGATGCAGCAGTGTTGACAATGTCATAGGGTAGGCTGTTCCAGTGTGAAGCTGCTCTGAGGAATAATGAAGCAGAAAACGTAGTGGTATGCGATGGCGATTGGGCAACTTAAAATGGGTGATTGGTGCGGTGGCAAATGCATGATGCGGCTGTGATATAAGGTGCTTAATTGAGAGGCGAATAAATGAACTTATAATAATTGTCAGCAGCCGATTACGTGTGTACGCGTCGCTTCGTGTTGTGTTTTTAATAAACAGCCGCTGGTCAGCCGAGTCGTTGTTGGGCTTCTACGCAGTTCGTTTGACTCACTCGTGTCGGTGGGCCGATTGCGATTGCCAGCGCGCGCCGAGTTCCGCGTCCAGTCGTCGGTCCCCTCGCCGTTGTTCGGACGCCGGCCGCTGTCACAACAACATGGCGACGATGCATCAGGACGATGCCTCTTCAATGCGGAGCATTTCTTAGTCACACAATGTCACGCGTCGTGCGTCGGCAACAATGTCCACGCGGCATCGCCCTGTGGACATCGTCGCCGACGTGCCACATGCTTGTGTCTCAACATCGTGCCACATGCTTGCGTCTCGTGCGAACTGTATTCTCGCCCCTATCCCACCTCACAAGGTTTATGCAGGCAGTGTCTGCTAGTAAAAACCGACTGCTCGCGCTGCACCACTGTTCACTGGCCGCCCCGTGTATGTAGGCACTGAATCGCTCATTTGGAATTCAGTCAAGGCCATCTTGGCTTTTACTTGGCTTGACGCTTTGCTTGACTCGAGTAGATGCGATGGAAGCAACAGTATCTGCAATAAATAGTGGGGCACAAACCAACATCAGTGTCCTAACACTCGTTTAAGCAAAAGTTTCTCCTTCATTCAATAAATAAGAATAATAAAGACGAAAGAACAATTAAGCATTCGCAAACCATCTCTCACCTCGCTAGGCCAACGCAGGCAGCGCCTGCAAGTAAAAATCGACTGCTCGAGCTGCACAACTGTTCACTGGCCACCCCATATATGTAGGCACTGGATCGCACATCAGCGTCCCACGACTCATTGAAGGCAATGCTTCTCCTTCATTTAATGAATAAGAATAATAAAGATGAAATAACAATTAAGCATTGCAATGCTATACCCAGTAATGCAAAATTCACGTGATACCCCTGCCACTCTGTGGCACGTTTACCTGAGTTCTCGCCGTGGAAAGATGCGAGTCACATTTTTTCAGAGGGGGCAGAGCCACGCTCTTTTCTCAAGTTTTGTTATCCCCCCCCCCCTTACACGTGTAAGTGCTGCTCTGTGCAACCACGCTAAGAATCATTGAGATATTTAGAGAACCTTTTGATGCGATTACGTCCACACCCGGACAATACAGATTCTTCTCGAAGTTACGTGGCCGCCAGCGATAGCACTGTAATATACGACGGCAAAAGTATATATGCGGACACTCGTCACCGCTTGTCACTTGATCGATGGTTGATGCTCTGTTCACTGCTATCAGGGCCTGTATATATTGCTGTAATCAGTCTTTCAGCTGACCGGCCACAAGTTCGGACAAATCAATAGTTTCATCTTCGACATACAGTCTGCTGTCTTCGTCAACGTCACCACCACTTGACAATATGTGTGCTATTTTTGTGAATACATAAGTTATCATTGCGAATAAATATCAAATGCGAATAAATATATAAACAGTTATCATTGCAAATAAATAAGTTATCATGGCCAACGTTTCTAGGCACTCTATTGTTTTCTTTTTTCGCTCTGTTAGAGCGATATTAGACACCGGGGACCACGGACAATTATCTTGCTGCTGGTGTGGTCTGAAAACAGCATTTGGTGTAAAGAATTGCTGGCAATCATTCACAGCTGTGTACAGCGTTTCTGTGGCCCCAGAAACAAGAAGTCAGTGCAGTATTTTCTGTCAATGGATGTAGAGATTTTTCTCATTGTGCTGTTTGAACGCATTTTCGTTGAAGCTGCATAGCTCAGGTTCCTTGTGCATGAGATAGCCGATGTTGCATGGTTTGCACACCCTTTTTTTTCTGTGCTAGTTTAACCTTTCTCCCAAATTTCGGGTTTAGATCCTAAATAAAATGGAGCTTTTTCCCACGTAAGCTGCTACTAACTAGGACTTTTCTGCATCAAAAGCGATATTTTCGTGCTGCAAAAGTTACTCCAAGTCATATTTTGGCTGTCCCCATGAGGGGGCAGTTACTGACCCAATACCTTCATCCAGATATTGTCATTTTCAGTTATTTTTTGTTTGGCTGCATGGCTCAGCGGATTGAAGGCGTGAAAGTAACAGTGGTCTTGAAGTACTTAGTTAGAACCTGCTAATTTAGGAGTGATGCTTTAATTGTTGTTGTAGTTACTCCCATAGACAGTACAATGCCTTAGCAAGGCATTCTCTGAACTATTCATGTTCAGTAAAGAATGATGAAGCTGGCAGTCTCGTCTTCTTCGTGTTATATTTTAGCAGTGGTGCATAATATAGTAATGAGGCCCACATGATGTGGCATTAATCAGAATGGTGACTACATTTTTGGTCTAGTTGGACAAGGGCTAAATCAGTTGTGGTGAAACGGCACAAACAACAGGACAAAGAACATACAGGACACGACCGGATTGAAGTCTGGTTGAGTGGTTTTTATTTCTTTTCTGCCAACTGTCATGTCATCGTTCTTTCTTTACCACTTCGTCGCACCTGTTTACGTTCTCATGAAATTTGCTTTTGCCGCATCTTGTAAAACACCTATCCACATGCTGGCTGGCCGAGTGACTCAGTAGCTTATGCTTCATTTTTGTTTACATATTTCTTCGCCTGCGCATATATTCTCTGCCTTTCCAACAAATAAGTCAGTGGATAGCCAGCACTGTGTTGTGCATGTTGTTCCCCTTGTGTGTGCTGTTCTGCCACTACGTCCATGAACCGATCAAAGAACCTTTGTGGACTACATGTGAGCTGTCCTATAACTGTGCAGCCAGCGCTAGATATAGTTCCAAATGACGCTTGATGCTATGCAGAGGTTTTAATTCTCTGTCCTGTGCATTAATACACAACTGTTGGCCACGTGCAGGCTCAAGGCTCTAGCCCGGCAGATGGGTGACTGCAGCACCAAGCTCCATGCAGCATTGCACAAGGACAAGAAAGAGCGAGGAAAGATGCGTCGCATCAAACTTCGCACCACTAAGAAGGCAAAGCTGGCACGCACACATCGGCGGTAGCAGGCGTCATGAATAATAAATGTGTTCTGACTTTTATTTATTTTACCCTCAGGGTTTGCACATTACAAGGAGGAGGGATATGTTGCGCACCAAGGTTGGATGAAATAGAACTCGATACGTGAAAAATCCACATAATTCGATGACATATCATACACGTCAACAAATATATTGTAGCAGTAGAGATAATGCAGATAATCCTTGTTCAAGAACCAAATCTACTCAATTTTGTGTAATATTCATACGGTATGAACTGGGCCTTGGTTTGGACGAAGGAAGAGAAAGTTGATTGGTTCGGCCTATGTACGCCATCATCGTCGATCACTGCACGATCTTACCTGTAAATAAACATAGTTAAACTCAATTTAACCGTAACGGTTTTGTGGTGGAGGTGCAGGGTAGCTAACCAAGCAACACAGTTCTGCAACAACCTGAGCTACGCTGAAGCCACCGCATTGCTGGGCTACCTCCATTACTGCTAGTGGTCGAGATGTTTCACAGTGAAGACGGAACCCTCAAGCTGACGGCAATGCACCACCACTTCCAGCGACACCTTTACTACCGACATCAGCCGTGACTGGTGCTCGGCAGCGTCAGCATCTGATAGAGCCCCGTCCTTTCGGGGGCAAATCTGGAGAGGACATAGACAAGTGGCTCAAACATTACAAGCGGGTGAGCGAATTGGGACGCGGCAGCTCAGTTGACTAATGTGGTGTTCTTCTTGAAGGACACGGCGCTCACATGGTATGAGAACCATGAGGGCAACATCACGACGGGGGATCACTTCGTGTCAAAAATCAACAAAGGTTTTGAGGACACCGCGGCAAATAGAAAGCAAGCCAAACAAATGCTGCTGCAAAGAGCCGAGGTCCCTGGCAAAACCTGCACGATGTATATCGAGGCATTCCTGAAGCTATGCAAGACCGTCAAACCTTGCATGTCCGAGGAGGACAAAGTCAGCCACCTGTAGAAGGAATCACAGAGGACGTTTATCACTTTCTCTTCGGGAAAGACAGCATTGATACAGTAGCCGGTGTCAAAGGCACTGTCCCACTTTTGAGATGCAGAAGATGAGGCCTATCGCTCCTAAATTTGGATGACTACCAAATGTGACCATGGTAGCGAGTGCGGACAACTACGTGCCTTCTGATCTTGCGTTTACGATACACGAGATCGTGTGTAAAGAACTCAGTCTACACACTCGCGTGACGCCTTGTGAAGCTACACCCTTGCCGGTTCCCGATCAGCATCCTGTTTCCATTGCTCAAGCAGGCATCGAGGAGTACAACTACATTCTTGGCACACCACTGAGGCCGCAGCGCATTCACTACCAAAACACCAGGTAGTACCAGCTCCGCATCAGTTATCCTTAATAGCTAACCTTCGCCTATCAGGACCGTAAAGAATATGCTCTTGTGTCACGACGCCTTCGCAATGCTTTCCAAAATGCATATCGTCAACCTCCTGTGTCCTTTAGCTGTGGTGCTCAGGGACACATTGCTCGGTTCTGCCGTCGGCAGAGAGAGATGACATCAAGATACAAGCCATCATCAAGACTTCCTTGTAGTGGCCACGGTTATGACAATCCCTAGTGGTACACGTATCTGAATAGCACCCTACACCAGAAGAACCGGTGTGGTACACCTCCGCCTGGCCGTATGCGTTGCTCGTCTTCACCTCTACGGCGGCGGTCGCCACCACCACCGCTGGGAAACTAGCCATCGCGGCCGATGCAGGTGAGGTCGCACAACAGGGTTCACCTCATATACCTCTGCCAGTTAATATGTACAAAAACCGGATATGTGTGTCAATATACAGATTGTGTGCAACGGCTATAGTGGATACTGGTGCCACAGTTTCTGTTATGAGTAGTTTATTCAAAGATAGCTTAGGCCACAAAGTTATATTTTCCTATCAGGATTCTAGTAGATTTCGTGGCGTGGGCAGGGACATACTTCAACCTGTAGGAGTATGTGCTGTCATGGTGTTGTTGGTGGGAAAGGCATTCCCAACTGAGTTTTTGATTCTGAAGCGGCGTATACATGATGTTATTCTCGGCACTGACTTCCTCCAAAAGTGTGGCGCTTTAATCGACTGTGGTACGGGTAAAGTTTCTGTTACCGACGTTGATGCCCTTCCCGCACTAGTTAAGCAGCCGCCGCCTCCAGAAGACTTCCTGATTGTTTCTAAAGAGCTGACATTACCACCATGGTCTACTAGTTCAGTAGCCGTATCTGCTCCTGTAGCTGCATTATCAGCCTTTGATGCCGTAGAACTTAGCAGCTTTTTCGGGTTATGTTCTTATTTTCAACGCTTTGTGCCAAAATTTGCGAATATTATGTATGCATTGCAAAAAACAGTGCATTCTAGTGGATATCTTAATGTGGCGCTTCGTTTTGTCAACTCAAATTTCTGCTGACATCAGAGCCAATTCTCCGTCACTTTGGTCCATCTGCTCCTACAGAAGTGCACAGTGATGCAAGCTGTATTGGCTTCAGAGGCATTCTTGTTCAGCATCACAATGACAGAGAGCATGTCGTTGCCTATAAAAGTCGTTCCCTTAGCAAGGGTGAAAAAAATTACACTGTGACTGAACAAGAATGCTTGGCAGCCATATTTGCGGTTCAGAAGTTTTGTTGTTAGTACCTGTATGGGTGTCCGTTTTCTTATGCGCTATGTCAGCCCATTCGTTATCGTAAATCACCTGAGTCACTTGACCTACGTGGTAGCACGCTTGACGTCATGTGGCACATGTAGCTCATCTCAAGCAGTTCCATCCCACACTCCACCAGTGATTAGACTCGGCCAGTAGGCTTCGTCTGTGAACCTGGTAATAAACTGTCTGAGCCAAGCCATGGTTCGGACCAGGAAAGAGGAACTTGGTTGGTTCGGCCTATGTACTCCATTATAGCTGATCGTCGCCTGATCTCACCTGTAAATAAACATAGTTAAACTCAATTTAACCGTAACAATATATATTATAGTTTGTATTGACGCTGTAAGGCAAACTTAAGCAATAAAACAAAAGAACCAAAACTGAGAACAACTACCAAAAAAAGCCAGAAAGAAAAACATCACGTAATGGTTGAACAATGCTGAACTTATATTCTTGCAAAAGAAAAAAAAACAATTTCAAACCTGATGTGTCGGTGATAGCAGACGCTGATTGCGGCAGTAGATCCCATTTGGAGGTGGTTTTTGGAATGAATGCATTTCAGTAGGTTTACAGTTCTCCAGCGAAAAACAAACTTTTGTCGTCGAACTTTTTACAAATGCACATGTCAGGGGTGATCGAATCCTTCTGCTGCCAGACCCCATTGGATCTACAGGCTCAAAATAAATCTGATAATGTAGCTATACACTGTAGGTTCCTGCGAAGGGTCGTGCCGAATGGTCCAGCCATCTCTGCCAGGCCCCAATGATTGTGGGGAAAACGCGAAAGCGGTTTTCCTGCACCTGCAAATAGAAATGTGATGACTGAGTTCAGATTCGGACAGCTGTGTTTAAAAACTACTGAAAGCCATTCAATAACTGGTAACGAAACAGGAAAAAAGTTACACTAGCTTTAGCCCTTTAATTTCTGAATTATGAAACCATCGAACAAAATAGAAATTACTCTCATTTTTCAGCTTTAAATAGAAACGTTTGATCGATTCCACACCTAAATTTAAGGCATACTTTTGCTTGTGTTTGAAATTCTCGATATGCCACAAAAGCGAAGACATATAACGAGAATTATATGTCCGAGAACTATATAGCGAGAACTATATAATGAGAACTATATATAGCGAGAACTATATAACCTATCATGTGCCACTTCGTACGTACACACCAAATAAAATTATTCGCGTTACTTTTCACGTCAACTAGGCAAAAAAGAACGAAGAAGTGAGAACTGTTGCACGTGCTTTGCGCTTGCTGCTATGAGCTACAAAACAATAGGTTCTGGCATAAAATATGTTGCATGCGATGGTGCTAGATTTTTCAGGCTGAAAGCTACGTTCCCTGCGAGTACTTGCGAGTCGGTAATAAAGGGACCGACTGTGACGCAGAACACGAAATGAGATGACTACACGGATGGGAAAATTGTCCCTTTTAGTGACTCAAACCAACCCTGTTTTTTCTCGTTAGAAGTGGAGTTGTACCTTTATTTTTTCATTCAAAATTACGAAAAATGGCCTGTGGCGCCTCTGGAGGCAAATACTTATTTTATTCGATATAGCCTGTCACATGATGGTAGATTAGTATATGCGATCAGCGATTTTCTTGTTAGTAGCAAAATATTGTTCGCTTCTTTATAGTGAAAAGTATCACTTCATAAAAATGTGTGTATAGGCCTGCGTTAGTATGCGTCAAAGTGGTGCTGCCTTAGCATGGCGTGACGATTTCATGCATGCCAGCGCGTCTTGAGGAAGTTTTCTACGTGCTCATAAAATCGTGCACGCAGTTTTCAGGTCGCTAAGATTTTAGAGCGATCTGATTTTTCTACCTACACTTTGCCTCAGAAATGCCATGTACTGCTATTCAGCATGGCCAGAGTGAGTTACCTCCGTATTCACAAACGCTCCTCGGCTTGGCTTGCACCCTTCACTTGATAGAGTGGAACACTGCACCACTGCTCGGCTGAAAATGACCCTGTGCTACTCAAGAATTGCAGCAGATTATCGCACGTACGCTGTGACTTGCCATGCCTATAGAAAGCACGAGGGAGAAATACAGAGGGGGGGGGGGGGTTAAGGCGGAGCCTAATGATGGCGACAGGTTAAGATAAGTCCCCCCCAAATGTCCCTCACTCGCACGGGCGAGGCAAACGGTGGGGGAAATCAGTGTGGCCAGAGCCTCCACCATATAATGCAGCGGGAGCACTAAAGAATTCTTTGACCCCCAGCCATAGAAATCTGCAAGCTTTCGTTTTGGAGGGGGGGGGGGTGTCAAAGCCGCGTTGTGTTTTTACTGGAGAAGGAAGAAGGCTGTGTTTCTTAGGTGAGGAAAGAGCTGGTGTGGTTGGAGAGAATTCTCTCCAATTAGTTTCGCTCCAA